ACCAAAAAAAAAAAAAAAAAAAAATCTAAGCAGCTTTTCGAAAAAGAATGTGGCACGTGGGTATTTTTCCATATTGCGAAAACGAAGGCGTTTTATTGGCGACATGAAAGGGCGCTGATCCCTGTGTAGCAGCCGCGTGTGGCTTAGTGGCCGGGTGCGGGCGCCGCCTCGGCGCTGTGTATTCGGGAGCGGGAGAGAGACGGCCGCACCGCAGCCCGTCTCACTCGCACTCGCCTCGGAGGCGGGCAGGGTGCCGGCCGCCGGGCCCGCCGCCTGGCTGTGCCTGGCTCGGAGGTACTCATTCCCGTGTTTACTGCGTCAAAGCAGAGCTGATGCGTGAAATCCGGCTCGCCGAGTACTCTGCGCCGAGTACTCGCGGACCACGAGGAAAAGAAAAAAAAAGATGAATGAACACAGTATAGCCTCAAATTTATAGCATCCAAATAGGGACGTATAAAGCCGTCGTGTTCGCGTCATTTGTGACTCACGCTTGTGATATTTGCCGCAGCTGTTTTTGCGTCAGCGCCTCACTGTTAAAAATGTCCTTGTAAATCTACATCTGTTGTAGTTTCCATTTACAAAATATCTTGAAAATTTGCGCCAGCCCGTTCTTGCTTGTCGATCAATCCTATAGAATTCTTTAGAATTCACTTATAAGTCGACACAAAAGAGCTCGTAAATTTACAATTTAAAATTGAAATATTACGATACGCACCATGGAAATTTTTATCGTAAACCTACGGCTATTTTCTATAGTTGCCTCAGTCTAACCTGTGCTTCTCTCTCTGTTCCCCTTTAGGCGTACGTGTCCTGCGCGCTGGGCATCCCCTCGGTGGGCTACGTCATGATCTGCTTCGGCGTGGTGAACGCCATGTGCTCGCTGCTGTTCGGCTCGCTCATGAAGTTCGTGGGCCGGTCGCCGCTCATGGCGCTGGGCGCCGTGGTGCACGCCGTGCTCATCGGGGTGCTGCTCATGTGGCGGCCGCACCCGGACTCGCCGCTCGTCTTCTTCGCCATCTCCGGGCTGTGGGGCGTGGGCGACGCCGTCTGGCAGACTCAAGTCAACGGTCAGTAGTACCATCACTCATTAGTGTGTGCGACCATCATTAGCAAGTGATTGGAAGACAACAGTGACGTTTCTTTTTGTTTTGTTCTTCTACCCTGAGAAATAGTAATTATCGTTTGGAAATCCTTCGAGGGGAGATTATCAGTGCCTTTACTTCTGAAATAAGATTTCTTCTTATATTCAAAACGATTCCATTCTGTTTCCTTTTAATGAGAAAGAGGATCCGGTTCAGATTTCAGATTCAGTTTCATTTAACCGAATAATGTAGGGCTTTAAAAGTCGAAACAAAGGTCAAAACAGTGAAAAAGTAGGGCAATACAATAATATAATACACTGAAGGCGGAGCTGGGCAGAGGGTCATGCTAGCTAGTCCTAATCGTAATTAGTAAATTGTGACATACTGCTGCGGTGCGGTACCCACAATCTTGCGCGTATCATGAAACTTGAAACTGTTTTCCCGGTGTGGGTCGAACACGACCGGGGAGCGACAACCGAACGCGTAGTCCGGCCGGGACATTATCTGTACATCTTTCATTATCCTCCTTCCTCCGAGCGGTCCGGCCGGCGCCTAGCACGATGCATGTCCCAAGGACGAGTCGCCGTGGGAAATGCTCCCGCTGTTCACATAAGACGACTCATGTGAGGCAAAAGGAGCTAATCGCCTCCTCCCGACCCCCTCTGCCCGAAACGCGTGATGTTTTTGCGCATGCAATGTGTCATCCTTCACAGCAGGGCCTCAAAGGGTCACTGCTGCACCAAGAAAATCGTTTCCTTAAATCCTTGAAGTTTTGGCCCTAAGTTGACGATGATAAGGATACATTTTTACCTACATTCAAAAAATTATTAAATTCTAACGAAAAAAAATGCCAAAAGATGAACCAAGATTAGAATTTCTAGAAAACATCCGTAATCTCATAACCTCGAGGAATCGATTTGCTGGGTGGGTTTGAAGTTTCAAGTGACAGGGAAGGAGGATGAATGCAGGTTTATATCGCGGGTATTACGTACAACAAGTATACATGTGACTTTAATGATTTAGTTCAGGTATAGGTTAACCTAATTTCGTAGAAACGTCTGGCGCGTCATTCAGGATAATGACAGCCGATGATTGTTTTCATCCATCTTGTCTAACTTGGGCGTCCCTTTGTCCTCAGGTCTCTACGGTACGCTGTTCAGGCGAAACAAGGAGGCCGCCTTCAGTAACTACCGGCTGTGGGAGTCGGCGGGCTTCGTGGTGGCGTACGCGTACAGCACGCACCTCTGCGCGCGCATGAAGCTGTACGTGATGCTGTCCGTGCTGCTGATCGGCATCTGCGGCTACATCATCGTCGAGTTCCTGCACATGCGCAAGAAGAGGCGCATGAAGAGGCTGGCCGAGGACCCCAAGGCCGCCGCCAAGGAGGCCGCGGCCGCCGCCGAGGCCGCCAAGGCGTCGGGCGTGCCCGCCGTCGAGGAGACGGACGACGAGCAGGACGAGGCCGACGACGACATCATCGTCACCCACCTCTAAACGGGGCGACCCGTCCTGGCGGTGCCGAGGGCGGTGCAGCGCGGGGGGCCGCGGAGTGCGCGAGGAACACTAGTGTGCAGTGCGAGTCTGACGCCTCCATGACCCCCGTGAACCACCAACACCACCGCACGGCGCTGCCCGCCGACGCACCCCGTCGTCGCCGACCCGTCACCCGATGACCTGACGGCCGGCCGACCTGCTGGTCACGACGACGGAGATGTGACGTGACGTCGGCGCGACGTCGCGGTCGCCTCGGCGCGGGTCTTCTTCTCGCCCTGGAGGCGGCCCGCGGCCATGTGCTCCTTCTGCACCGAGATCGACCCGAGTCCGACGCGTCCGCGTCGAGCCATTGCCATATTAACATCACTGAATGAAGGTCCAGGGCGGCCGTCGCGGGAGTGCCAGCGGGGCGTGACGAGCAGGTTGGCAAACCTGACGCGGTCCAATGAGAGAGAGAAACAAGTGTGAGTGTAGTCCCGGTGAGCGCAGGGTCCGACCCCCTGCCACGTTGTGTATGTAGTGTGTCTTATTTTATAAAATTCTGTTTTCGCATTTTGCTAAAGAGAAAGAAATGTTGTTAACGTTGTTCATATTCATTTTAATGGAGGATAGATAGTAATGTTTGCGATCTGCTGCTCGCGAGTGACTATGGCGCCTGCTCACTCCTGTGGCCAAATTCAAACCCTTTTGATTAAAAAAATAAACTTTAAAAACATGTGATTGATCTTCTGTTTGATGTGGAAAGGCAGGTCCTCTCCAATTGTTGAATTCCGAGGTCGAATTTCTGGTCCCAGCAATGCGTCGCACTGCTTGTGTGTGTAAAGAATTGTTGCCATATCCCTGTAAGGTGTATTTTTCGGTGCCATTGCCGCCGCCGGCCGCTGGTTCGCACCAGAGCTCGGCGCGGGGTCCCCACACGTAGCTCAACTGAGCGCGAGTCATTGGCGAAAGTTGAAAGTGTTGGCGACGGACACTGTGCGGTTAGCTGGAAGGCAAGTGTGTCCCCCGCCTTGTCAGTTTCGCGTATGGCGAGAGGGAGACAGAGGGGAGGGGGGCTGAGACAGACAGTCCATGCCTCCCACTCTGCTCCAACTGTCCACTAGGAGGTGATTTCTTGATCGGGCGATCGATCGTTTTGTGTATCCCCAGGTAGAACACCGCACCGGCACATTACAGGCGTCAGAAAAGTGCCCCGCATCTTCGAATAGCGCTAGTTTAGCGCCCTAGAGGTGCGGATGTTCTACTGGGGATTTCCCCCTCTTCTCTCCTCCGCCGTTTATTGCTGCTCACCAGTCTTTTCGTGCACTTGAGTTGGTTTGGGCTGGCCATAGGAGTTGAGTGCTTGTAATAAAAAAAAATAATATTGGGCTCACTGTTCTTTTATTTTTTTACGTAAGAAAAAGTGCATGTTTCGGGAGGACTTATACTGTGCCGATGGCAAAATGTCCAACGCCCGGGAGTTACGCTTGCTCTGTAACCCGGGCGTGGGACATTCTAGGCCTTTTGTACAAACTGTAATGAAAAAATTTGCGGGTCATGTACATAGACTTTGTTGAACAAATTTGTAGTTTGAAAGCGGTAGTTTAAGTTGGCCCATGCTATGAGTTGGTTTGAGGAACAAATGCCTGTGAAACAAGGGACTCGCGTCCACAGCCGGTTCATCTTAAGGCACGGCTGGCTGTCAATTGGATTTTTGTTAGTTTGGTCACAATATTTATGGTTTTGCCGTAGGTTTAAAATATTTTTCGTCGATAGTGTAAAGTTTTAATTAAATAATTGTATTATTACTACCCAATGATTTCTTTTTGTTCTTAGAATAGGTGAATAGAGACAGCGTTTCGTCTCTGGTACAAAGTCACCCGACTCTATAGAGCGATTGTCCTGTTTCATTATTCTTCACAATCCTGCTTTACCTCATCCCTCAGTAAATATCGTCAGATGTAATACGTATTATAAATTTGCATGCATCTGTTGTAGAAGAAACTCGCAAATCTTTTAAGATTTGCTAAGAATAGCGATAACCTAAAAAAGACAAGATCTCGATATTACACATTTGAAATGTTAATAAACAAACCTTGTGTGTCACTCAGTTGCCGTTCTCCTTCTTTCCCACAACAACCCAACTCACTGTTGTAAATGATTAATATATGTGAGCATTATACTGGGGAGCTCAGAAAGTGTGGCGCTATCTTCAGAAATACTAAAGCATCGGTGAGCAAGCGTACAGCGCCACACGGGTGACCACGACAGACCAAAGCGGGCCGCCCTTCCCTCCCTCAGTCTCATAGTGAACACGGAGAACCGCGGGAAACTCAGCAGGGACTCATTAGAGTCGTTGCCCGCACGTTTTTGACTGCCAAAGTGAGTCCCTCCTGACTGAATTTTGACTGGCTGGTCATAATTTAGGCAGGAAGAAAGACTTTCTTTGACAATCAAAAACAGAAATTGACTAAAAGTGCCTTTTTCTGTTATTGGGGCGAAGCTTGAAGCGGATGGAATCCGCCCTGCGTACAGGAAGGGGTAGGGGGTAGGGGTTATACGTCATTCCGTAAGCACCGCGTACCCTTGACTTAGTTCGCAGACTGATGCGAGGGGGGATCAAATGATCAAATCCCGTGAACACGGACCGTCTGCACCGCGCGGCCGCCGCAGAGGAGTCTCTGCCAGCACGGAGTAGCGTACGCCGACCGTACGGAGTATCGCCGCTCAAGGTGCTGGTCGACTGAAACGGAGTATCTCTACCACATCGCGGCAAGATTCGGGCTTGGGCCAATTACATATTCCCACAAACACAAAGAAAAGTTGAAATACCGTCGACCTGCACCTACCTGACCATTCACACACTTGGAGACGGCTCTCCTAGGTCTTGTAGGCGCACCCGCCACCACGTCAAAGGTGCCAGAAAAAGGGGAACCGCAAACACCCGCTTTAGTAATCGCCCAGAAAATACGTCCGTTTTTTCCTCAGATTCATTCGGCAAATAGCGGGAGCTCGACGCCTGCGAGACTGGGGGTAGGCCATCCCGCTCTACACGCATGCACTGAAGGCCGGATGTTGCCTACCTATTAGGCGCTCTGAAAGCTTATACAGGCTGAACTTGGCATGTTCGTTCCGGCAAATGACGGACGTACTTTCACTGTGAAAAATTGTCGGGGAGGAAAATGTTTACATGGGAAATGTGCAAATACAATTTAAAATTGTAAATTTGCAAGCACTGCGTATCGACTTGAAATCGAATGACGAGCAAAACTAGGAGGTTGTAAATGGAAAATTACAAAATATACCGTATGTATGGACATATTTTGCTCAGTGTTCTGGATGATCCCTTACGTGTTAGGAACCCAGCCAAGGGAACTCCCACGGCTCGCGGTTGCAGTGCCGAGTCTCGTTAAGATCGTAAATTTGTTACTATTGAAATCTTGTGGCACTTTGTTTTGCGTAACGCAGTGTTGGTCAGCATACTTCTTCTATAAGTTTATTTCTATCAAATTTTAAAGAAGTTTGCTGCGAACAGTGCAAGTTATGAAATTCGCACCACGGGTGTGAATAATCCACAGATTTTTATTCGCCCTAGCAGTCCGAATTGTGATTCCCAGTGATTCCCAAAGGTAAATAAACAGTGCAAATCGGCGTCGTTAGCTCGAGACCGATAATTATCGTAGGATGCTAACCTGAGTTCTATGGTGGACAGCGTGTCAAAGGATAGTGCTTGTTGGTTTCCGGAATATTGAAATGTTCTGTTCCGGTAACTTTTGGAGGTTAGTGTGCTCCTGTTACTCCCTTTTTTACACACACTAGTTGTGAGTTATTTTTAAAGGCAGAGTAAATGATGCCTATTATTTGTAAACTTAGCTCACTGTAAATACTGTTGTAGGTCTTTTGCAAATGGGTGAACTGTCAGTGTAATATTAATCATATATTTTACTCTGTGTTATTCTAGTGGAACATCAAAATGTATTACTTCTGATAGGGGTGTGGACTTTCATAGTCAACGGGGGGATATACCACATACACTAGATGACACTTAATGTCCAGTGCCAAATTAGTTATTTGAAAGACCATGGCCATTTTAGCGTATGGGGGAGAGGCATTTAAAAGTGACTTGTATGAGTAAATTAAATGTAATTAATAGTTGATGATTGTTGAGGAATAAATGTAAGCAAGCATTTGAAAAAAATCCAAAAGTACAATTTAATATGATTGCAGAAACACGGCTTGGAGTTGTTCTTGACATAAGCAAAAAAAGTCTACGAGTCATTTCACCTGAAAGTATAGGTGAGTAAAGTTGACTTGACAGTAACCAACTCTGGTTTGATGGCTTAAGTTCCCCTGGCCTTAGTTCCTCCCTGTCGATTTCAATACTCCGTCAAAATCTATTCTGATTTGTTATTGTTAAAAACGTATTTTAAAAATTTGACTATTTGAGAATTACTGGGGTCTGGATTGGTAAGGCAGAATCCCTTTCACTTACTCTATCTAAATATCATGGTGCCAACCCACTTCTGCAAAGTCCTTTTCTTTGCTAGTCCGCTTTAGGTAGGCAACCCGCCCACAAGTTCGAGAGACCACCTCTTAAAACTCAAGTGTTTGAGGACAGGGGTGGTTTCTGACGGAACCAACTGTAGTTTTGTGGTCCCCTGGTTCACCTCTGTTGAATCGACTACTTTTCTGCCAAAATCCAGACCCACCAACTTTCGCTAAAAACACAAAGGGCCTTTGTATATTAAGCCAAAAATGAAAGATTTGAAAACCACTGGAAATGGTTGGAATTGGTTCGACAGCATCCTCTTTCAATCTCTCCCCGTCGAAATTTCACGGCGCCGGGCCATTTTAAGCGGGTTACGCCTGTTTTCCTTGGACCGGTTCGCCTGCTAGTTAGGCAGCCCATTGTACGCTACCCGCCAGATTCAAAAGACCACCCCTAAAACTCAAGTTTCTCCGGACAGGGGTGGTTTCTGACGGAACCAGAAGTAGTTTTGTGGCCCCCTGGTTCACCCCTGTCAATTTGACTACTTTTCCGTCAAAATCTGGACCCATCAATTTTCGTTAAAAACACAAAGGCCTTTGTAAATTTTGCCAAAAATGAAAAAATTAAAAATCGCTGGAAATGGTTAGGATTGGTCCGACAGCATCCTCTTTCAATACCTCCGTCGAAATTTCACGCCGCCGGGCCATTTTAAGTGAGTTACGCCTGTTTTTCTCGGACCGGCTCGCGCGCCAGATTCAAAAGACCACCCCTTAAAACTCAAGTTTCTCTGGACAGGGGTGGTTTCTGGCGGAACCAAAAGTAGTT